CATTCTTTTTCAGGGGAGGTTTGCAAGGCGGGGCCATTTTCCAACCCCCCCCGTTTTTTGGGTTTTTTTTTACCCTGCCTGTTAAATCAAAAGGCAGCTCCGCAGCACCAGGCATATCTGTCGCCAGCTCGCTCCCTAGAGTCTCCAGTCTGAAGATACAGATGAGACAATCCGCAGAAATTATGTGTGTCAAATGCCCTCTTCGCTCACTCAGCAAAAACTGCCTCTTCTTGGTCCCTTGAGATCCACAATTAAAGGTGTCAGTAACCTCCTTTTGCAACCCTATCCTTGGTTTTGAATACCTTAAGGCATTTGTCTGTGTGCAACTTCTTTTTATGCATCTGAAAATGAGCATCGTCTGAACTGCTTTAATGAAAGTGACACACTTCAGCACCTACCACGTTTGCAGTACCTTGCAGACTTAATACTTTCAAGCGTATTTTAAAGAAGTACCCTAATAATAATAATAATCCTTACACTATCATAGTGCTTTTCTGGACACTCCACTCAAAGCGCTTTCCAGGTAATGGGGATCCCCTCCACCACCACCAGTGTGCAGCCCCACCTGGATGATGCGCCAGTCCGCTCCCCACACACCAGCTCTCAGTGGGGAGGAGAGCAGAGTGATGAAGCAATTTCAGAGATGGGGGCCATGATTGGTAAAGGCCAGGAGGAAATTTGAGCAGGACACCAGGGTAACCCTACTCTAATCTAGGCCCCTTCACCACTAGATAAATCATGGACAAATATATCTGGGAAACTGAAAAAAAGGCATTTTCAAGTCATGTTGTTGACTTCATGGGGGGTTTAAGAAGCAACATTAAGCCTACCATGTTTTAAAAATCTGCAGTCCATTTCACCTTTACTTATTTTTAACCTTTTTATCCCTCAACAGGGTGCCTTTAGAGCTGCCAGAGCACAACTTGTACACAAGAAACATTTTCATACTGTTCCAAAAAAAGTACATTTGGCAATTTACTTGATTTGTTTATTTGAATCAAACAAATTAATTGAATGAATCAATTAATTAATCAAATAAATGTAAAGCTCAGAACACGTTTAAGGCTCATCTCATCTGTGAAATTTCCTACAGTAGTTTGTGAGCTCTATGTAGCATTAACATTTATAAAAGAAATCAAGTAGTCGGCTATTGTTTAGAGATTTTCATCTTCAGCTCAGATAGTTTGACTTGTGTAATTAATTATTCAGAATTACTGAAGCACAATTAGCACATACAGTAGCAGTTTAACCTACAAATATTGTCAAAATCAGTACAACGTCCTTTAGTGTCAGTTTATTTATTGCCTTATTGTAACTTGTGAAAAATAAAAAATAAAGACTAATTAATTGACTGATTCATCAATTAAGTTGATTGAAATCAGAGCCTTATAGGGGAATCCCTGGATTGTCCTACTGTATGTACAGAGGTCCATACAGCCTGCTGGTCCCAGGTTCCAATCCAGGCTGTGCCTCCCTCAGTAAATTGGTCCATTAGTGTTGGGTCATCAGGGGTATCACTGGGAACCTGGGAAGTTAATGACTGTGTAGTGTTTAAACCAGGGGTATCCAATTCTAGTCCTTTATTATTCATCAGCTCTTAATGGTGTAAATAAACTCTTTATTGGCTTCTGTGGACCACTTTATTGGCTTCTCTCAGCTCCTAAGCTTTAAAGAGCCTTAAAAAACATGCGAATACACCAGCCCTCCTAGGCCAGGACTGGACACCTAACCTTGAACCTCCGCCCTCAGCTGCAAGAGATCGGACTGGCCAACTGGCAAAGATCAGCTGATGGTTCTGTTCATTGAAACCGGGCGCAAATCTATAAGACGCTTGCTTTTGAACTGACCAATACAAGAAAATACTGAAAACACACTGCTTGAATCACCAATCAGGACGCAAGAGCTTTTCCCTATTTGATGTCAGAGGACGTTTAAATAGTCACTGGTAGTGAGGTATCCAATTTTAAAGCCGAGTACAGAACAACATGAAAAACCACCACTGATCGCCGTTACAGTCCTGACACTGAAAAACATCCAGGAGGGTCTTCAAGGACACGAGGCCAGGCTGCTGCAAGAACAGATCTGTCAAAAGACAAATTCCCTTGACTGAATAGTGTCCTGCACAAACATCAAGCCCCCAAGTGCAGCTCAAACCAAATAAAGGAATCACGAGGATTTATTGCCGATTGTGAAACATCTCAGCTGTACAGCAGTTGCCCATTCCTCACCACCTATCAAAATGAAGAGCAGCGTTCGTCTTGCTCAGTGCAGTTAGCAGCAGCTGTTACGATTTCAGGGGATTTTCTGGGACTGGGTAACACCCAGGACACCACAACCCTGGCAGAAACTGCACAGATCTTAGTCTCCACTAACGCTATCCATCCATCTATCCATCCTCTACCTGCTTCTTCCAATTCAGGGCGGTGCGGCAGCCGGAGCCTATCCCAGCAGTCACCAGGCCCAGGGCAGGGTACACCCTGGGCGGGACGCCAGTCCTGTTCTTAAACCCTTTTTAAAACATTTTTAAAATGTTCTGCACTGTTTCTCCACAACAACTGCCTGTCCCTATTCTACAAACTATCCAAATAAACACCTTTAATAGTATTCTACTAATATTATGAACCTTTCCCCAGGCAGATAAAATTAATCCCCCGGACTATTTTCATTGTAATCTATTGTAATCTATCTATATTTTCATTTGCAGAAAAATAAATGTCATCATGCCAAGTGAAGTGCTTTTGTCCTGCAGCCCAGTTCTGGGGAAAGAAATGACCACACTGTTCACACATCTGAGTCCATAGGGCTCCAGCCCAGCACTTCACATCCGTGCCTCAAAATCATTTCACTTTCTCACATTTTATAGGTGTCTACAATTCAAAGTCCAGGAAAAAAGACCAGCCGCTCAAAACACCCTCCCTCTGTCATTCATTTGATCCATATTAGAATAAGTGGGCTTTGCCCCAGCAGTTAGAATCACTGTCCCCCCAAAATTTCACTTTTTCATGATGGAATCAGGCATCCTGAATTCCAGTCCAATAGTTTAGTACCTATTAGGAAATTGTGAAATGGTTTTGTGTCACTGATTGTAAATGCTGGGGCAAAGCCCTCAGAACTCACATTAAACTGTAATATATTTACTCTGGAATTGTGCCCAAGGAGAATAGCTATTTATTTTCATGACAGACATGTTACCTGCTAGTGTGGTAACCGTGTGGGGAAGGAACCACTACAGATATAATAATAACAGACAGGAAGTCTTATTGTTTTAAAATACTCAAATCTGTTCAGTGTTCAATTGCGTTCCGGCGTTCCAGTGCGCCGGGTTTTACGCAGTCCCGTTTTATACACACGTCGGCTATTCCCAAAATAACCCTCCCACGATTCTTTCCTTTTCTCCCAAGTTCCCTTCCACAGATGAATTTCTAACTGATCGATTAATGATCACTTCAGTAATATTCCAAAATTCCTACAATTCTCTTTGTATGGAGTCACTTTTAGTCTCGACGTCGGAATCCCTACATTTGTCCATTTTTGGACAGTTTCTCAAAACGCCAGTTGTAGCATCTGTCGTTGACAAGGGTTAAACGTTTTGATGATCGAGATCATCATTCCAAACGACAGCTTACCAGCTTTACAATAAGAATCGAAAGGCTGTACTGCACCTGGCTGATGCCTGTTTGATTCGCAGACCCAGAGATATGGGGTGAAAGCGCAGCCATACAGCGTATTACACATCATCATCCAATAAACACTTGTATGTGACATGGTTTCTAAAGACAAGGTCGACATAGCAGAACTAACGCGCTGTCACAAACGGCAAAAACAGAACCATTTGGGGATGTACTTAGACTAACGGAGCCTTCACACTAAGTCCACAGAAGACGAGCCCTGCGTGACTTCCTCCAAGGTCATATCGTCCCCTTGAGAGAGGAAGATAAATTATTTGGATATATATATATATAACTCGTTCACCTTATCCTCTCTCTTAAGGTTCATCTGTCGTCTTAAAAAAAAGCAGCACTGCCAAGTATGAAAATCACATCACCTTGGAATCCATAGTAGGCAAGGTCACAACGTATCTGTCAGCGAATTAATCACTACAGCGTTTTTTTTTAAAAAAAAATGCACTTTACTGTTCACGTTCACCCCAACCCCCACACGTCCACGCATTCCACTCGCGAGGGGGCGAGGCGGGGGTCTCCGGCATAAATTTTCACGTTTTTAATCAGCACAGATTCGCTCTCCGTCTCCAGGAAAATATGCGAGACATACAACTTCTTCTTCAGTCATTCCTTCAGCCCAAAACATATTTTTCGTTTTCTTGAACACCATTAGCCGTCAAACACCATTCGTTCTCGGCACAGGCGAGACAGCTGTCATTAACCATCACTGGGCAATCGCCGCTTGATTTAAGTCAAATTAAATTGGAACCAACGAACGGATTGACTTTTCATTTTTAAACTGCGTTATCCCCCCGACAAACAATATAATTAAAATCACAAATCTCCAAATATCCACGTTGACAAATACATGTTTATACCATTGCTGCGGTCGCTAAAAATAACCCTAGCAGTGTGATTCGTGTTATCACGCAGGAGTGACTCTCAGCTTTTGCAATTTTAATGACACGCCAAGAAATGTGCATGCCCTTTTAGAAAATAAAATCAGATATTGCCCCCCGCGATACACAGACCCATCCTTGAACATGACATTTTAAATATTGTTTGCGAAATGCTGATTATCCCTGTTATGGTAGAACAGCAAGGTGAATCTGCATGAGAAATGTATTGAACAATTCTGTCTATGGCTTTTAGATGCAAACGTTTCTTAAGCACGTTTTTAACCGGGTGGGAAAAAATACTGGATACAGAGGGCGAGGTTATTATTCCTAACATCAGCTTTACAAAGGTCACGATTATTACGGTTAAACGGAGAATGAACGTCACCTTCGTTCTTCGTCCCAAAAGCTGAAATAACGAAGCAAACACAGCGTCCTTTACCTTTTCCTGCCGACGCTTATCGGTCTCGAAGCCCCAGGTCGCTGCAGCCCTTGTCCCTGAAGCAGCGGCGAGTAGGATGCTGTCGTCTCTCCTCCCTGACGCTCGGCGCACAGCGGAGACTGGGAAGGATGCGAGAGGTACCGGAGTCCCGCTCCCCCCCCCCCGGCCTCACTCCAGAAGGGGCGCACCACTCGCCGGCTCCGGTGGGGGCGTGCAGGGTCCGCGGGAGAGGACGGAGGGAGATCTGGGGGGATGTCACTTGTTACTAGCCGGCAGTGCGTTGCGTTTTCAGTTTTGAGAAGAAAGCTTTCGCGA